GCATGTTCTCAAGGAAAACTCATAATGAGGCCTTCGCCAGCCAAAGTTGGGAATGAATCCCCTGTATTCTTAGAGAGAATACATGGTGATATATGTGGGCCGATTCACCCATCGTATGGGCCATTTAGATATTTTATGGTATTAATTGACGCATCTAGTAGATGGTCACATATGTGTCTATTGACCACAAGAAATATGGCTTTCGCAAGATTCATTGCCCAAATAATTAGGTTGAGAGCTCAATTCCCTGATTATGCCATAAAGAAAGTCAGGTTTGATAACGCTGGTGAATTCACTTCAGTGGCCTTTAATGACTATTGTATGTTATTAGGAATCGATGTTGAGCATCCAGTTCCACATGTTTATACACAAAATGGCATGGCTAAGTCTTTAATAAAACGGTTGCAGTTGATTGCAAGACCGTTAATATTGAGAACAAAGCTCCCAATTACTGTATGGGGACATGCTATATTACATGTTGGGGCATTGGTCCAGATGAGGCCAAGTGCATATAATGAATATTCTCCGATACAGTTAACATCTGGCAAGGAGTCAAATGTATCTCATCTCCGTATTTTTGGATGTGTGGTCTATGTCCGGATAGCCCCACCGCAGAGAACAAAATATGGGGCCACAAAGGATATTGGGAATATATATCGGCTATACGTCACCAAGTATAATTAGATATCTTGAACCGGTAACTGGAGATATGTTTACGGCACGTTTTGCCGGTTGCCACTTTGATGAAAATGAATTCCCAGCATTGGGGGGAGGATCAAGAGAATCACCAAAGGATATCACATGGTGTACAAAAACCTTGGCTTATCTCGATCCCCCTACCCATCAACGCAAGGTGGAAGTTCAGAAATTTATACATTTGCAAAGTTTGGCAAACCAGTTACCTGATGCGTTCACAGATATGAAAAAGGTGACAAATTCATATATCTCCGCTGCTAATGCTCCATCAAAAATAAATGTTCTGGTACAAGTTATTGATGGGAATAAAGCAAATAAACCGCGGATTCAATTAAAGCGCGGGAGGCCGATGGGTTCGAAGGATAAAAATCCTCAAAAGAAAAAGAAATTGGGAGACAAGGTTCCAGAAGAACCAAATAAAGAAAAATTTCTTGAAGACATTGGTGAAAAGGTTATAGAAGAACCATATAAAGATATATGTCCTGAAGACATACATAAAAAAGTTTCAGAAGAACTAGTTAAAGAAGTTCGTCCAGAAGACGAACATGATACTGAAAAGTATGAGAGTTCCATTAACTTCGCCCAAAGTGGGACATTATGGGTTAGAAGTGAGATAAATGATATAAATAGAATGTTCTCCTTTTCAGTATCCAAAGAAGTTGAAAATGAAAATGATGATCCAGACCCAAGGTCCGTGTCAGAATGCCAGAAAAGGCCTGACTGGAAAAAATGGCAGATGGCCATGAGAAATGAAATAATCTCCCTGAATAAAAGAAATGTCTTTGGACCTATAGTCATTACACCAGAAGATGTAATGACAGTCGGGTGCAAATGAGTCTTTGTGAGAAAAAGAAATGAGAAAAACAAGGTCACAAGATATAAAGCCCGACTTGTGGCACAAGGTTTTTCTCAAAAACCGGAAATTGATTATGAAGATACATATTCCGCGGTCATGGATGCAATCACATTCAGGTACTTAATGAGCCTAATGGCATCTAAAAATCTAGAAATGTACTTTATGGATGTTGTGACTGCATATCTATACGAATCACTTGATAGTGATATATATATATATATATATATATATATGAAAATCCCAGAGGGAGTAAAGATCCCAGAAGAATCAAAGATGCCTGATGCATCAAAAGACATATGTTCGGTCAAATTACAGCGATCACTTTACGGATTAAAACAGTCCGGACGCATGTGGTATAATCGCGTGAGTGAATACTTGTTGAGTAAAGGATACATCAACAATGCGATATGCCCTTGCGTGTTTATTAAAAAATCCTCATCAGGATTTATGATCATTGCTGTATATGTTGATGACCTGAACATAATTGGAACTCAAAAGGAGATTGATGATGCAAGAACTCACATGAAAGAAGAGTTCAAAATTAAAGATCTTGGAAAAACAAAATTTTGTCTAGGGCTCCAGATTGAGCATTTCCAAGACGGAATATTTGTGCATCAGTCAAATTACACCAAAAGGGTGTTAAAACGCTTTAAAATGGATAAAGTAACTCCTTTGAGTACTCCAATGGTCAATAAATCACTTGATATTAACAAGGATCCATCTCGACCTTGTGAAGATAGCGAAAACGTATTAGGTCTTGAAGTACCTTATATGAGCGCTATCGGTGAGCTTATGTATCTTGCAAATTGTACTCGACCAGATATAGCCTTTGCTACTAATCTACTTGCAAGATACAGCTCATCTCCGACGCGCAGACATTGGAATGGGCTAAAACGTATCTTTCGTTATCTCCAAGGTACGATTGATCTGGGTTTATTTTATCATAGAAACCCCAAAGTTGGTCTAGTTTGTTTTGCAGATGCAGGATACTTATCAGATCCGCATAAAGCTCGATCGCAAACTGGATATGTTTTTACAATTGGTGGAACGGCAATCTCGTGGCGTTCTCAAAAACAGACTTTGGTCGTTCTTCAAATTATGCGGAAATCATTGCTCTTCATGAAACATGTAGAGAATGCATATGGCTCCGATCTATGACTCAACACATACAAATCTTTATACATCAATATTAACTATTCAAATTTATAAAAAAATTAGAGTATGTGATCATCACTTTCGGAACAAGTAAAAAGATTCATTTTTAACACATTTCTGCCCACACAAACCTATATTCATTTTACACTGTATTTGTGGTGAATGTAAATTTTGTGGTTCAATTTTACAGGTTACCATTTACTAATATCCATGGAGATCCAAGCTGGCCGTGAAATCCTTCATCAACTCCGATTTTATTTCATCTTCTAAACTCTACTATATCTGTTACAGTTCCTTATATTTGGGGATCATGTTGAACCTTTTACTTTTTATGCTGAATCTTTAAAAAAATTATCAGTTCTATGGTTTTTATCTTATTTTATGAACATTACTTAATCTGTTGTGACAACTTTTATTAAATAATTATTACTGTACGCTGACTATTTGCTATTAATGGTGTTATTACAATTATTATCATATGATTTTTGTACACATGTACTTAGAATTTAGGTTCTTAAGTTTTACCAATTTCTTATGTTAAGAATAGTATAAACTTTACTGAGTGTGTTAATTGAAGAATACTATATCTTTATAAAAAAATCTATTGTTACCATGAAGAGAATTGCGATTATAGAAGTTAATATATTGTATATATTATGTATATTGTAATTTACCTAACCCGATATTTGATCATATAATGACCCAAAATACGCATTTATTTTGAATTTTTGGCCCAAAATCTTCCAAACCCTAAATTATTGTCGTTTTGATAAGTTTTCAATATATATACAAACACTAACAACTTATTTAGCTTTCACATCTTATCAGAAAATGGAACCACTTGATTACATTGAAGACTTGAACAACAGATCGACTGAATGGTGCATCTGTGTTATACTGGTGAGAAAGTGGTCTGAATATATACCAAATCAGGACGTAACATTAGAATTGCTTCTTGCTGATGCGAAGGTAAAATTTATATTTTTAAGTGATTTTAACAAACCCCACTAATTCACATATATTCTGATGTATACAAAAATATACAAATTCTTTCATTTCTAAAAGACCATACACTACGCGCTCGGGTTAGACGACAATTTCATGATTTATTCGAACCTCTGCTAACCGAAGGTTCATGGTTTGATATTGAAGATTTTGTTGTCAATAGTTTATGCAGAAATGAGAGCAGAGATTCATACAGTTTTTTAATTCAATTTATAATATCTACCTCCTTAAAAAAATTTCATATGTTCAAGGTTTGTTATTTATAGTGATTTTAATCGATTTCGAATTTACAAATCATTGGCAATAAAGAATTTTATACATTTTTTTCCAGTTACTAGAAAAACAATTAACGGATTACAATGCTCCTACGAATAAATCAGGTTTTTTAATGTAATCAACTCATAATAATATCGTGTTTTAAATTTATTAATATCTTTTCATTTTTCTTTTGTAAACCAACCCTAAATTTTTGAATTGCATGAATTTTTCGTTTGACCGGTTAATTGACCGAAGGATTACAAGAACTATGACATCTTTTTTTTTACCGAATACTCACAATTTTGCAAACAAGATACATCGTTATAATAGGTTCTTTCAGAATTATATGTGATCTTCATTATACTTTCTTCATTATACATAAATATAATACATACAACAACACACAGCAAAAAAACCCATCAGAACACACAGTATAAACTATCAATATTTTAAAAATCGACCTAGTACACTTAACACTATACTCAATAACATTAAAATTTTAGAAATATGTTCAAGCCCGCACACACACATACTCAATAACATTAAAATTTTAGAAATATGTTCAAGCCCGCACATGTGTGTGGGTTAGTATCCTAGTATCCATAAAATTAAGAATTTAATTGTGAATATTTTATTAGAGATCAAACTATCATTTTTAGTTAATGAATTATAAATATGTGTTAATAATGATTATATATTAAATTATCAAAGTGGATAAACACGTCTACTTAATCTATTTTGTAATTTATTAAAATATTTTTTGGCTAATCCATAAAAAAAATATAATTTAAATTTTAAAAATATATTTTCAGTTTTTTTATAAAAATAATTGAATTGATTTTTGAAAATGATACTAATTAATTATAAAAATACAAATGAAAATATTACAAAAGTTTAAATATTTTTTTGTATATATGGATTGATTCTTATTTAAAATAATAGAATATATTTTAATATTTTAATAAGTAAAAAAACTAAATATACTTTTGATTTATATTTATATATGTTTAAAATAAATTTGTGACCTCTATATTTAACTACTTTTTTAGTGAGGAATATTTAATTAAACTTTTTATATTTGTAAAGTTTATTTATGTAATATCTAAATAAAAAAATTATTTATATATTATTTTATAAATAAAAATTTATTTATGTAAAATATTATGTAATATCTTTCAAATAAAAATTTATTGATTTAAATATCTATTCAAATAGTAATATAAAGATTCGACAACAACATTAATCAACCTATGTAATGTTTTTTTTCGGGTTATTCAGGGATCCGAATGGTTCACGCATAAAACCCGAACCAAATCGAAAGCTAAATCAAATTTGAAGAGGAAACATTTGGGTTATATTGACGAATCGAATTTGAACCGAACCGAACCATGTTTTCTGATTGGGTTGGTTCGGGTCCTTCCAAATACATTTGGGTTTTATAACCAGGGCGACCGAAGTTTGGAATTTTTTTTCTTTTGGTTCTTTCAAATCACCAAAAAGAAAAAGGAAAAGCGGTAATAAAATTAATGGAAACTATTAGGTGTGGAAAACGAAGAACGTAGAAATACAGTTTCGGTAGTCCGTGTCGGATCCTTCTCGCACTCACAAAACGCAAACTTTGGAATTAACCGATAACAAGAATGAATCCCTCCGGTAATCAATCAGTGAAAGGACGATCTACTGTTTCGGGTTCCTGTGAGTTGGGATTGACGACGTCCCAAGTGCCACCGCCTTTCAGTAAAAGGAGGAATACAAAAGATGTGTCTCTGTCGTGGTCTGGGTTATGGTCGTTGTTGCCAGATGCGGTTGCTGTGAACTGCCTGGCTCATGCCTCGAGATTGGACCTAGCGGCTTTAGCTGTCGCCTCCAAGTGCCACCGATCTCTCGTAGCTTCCCCTGACCTTTGGGACTTGAGATGGCGGATGGGTTGTAGAGAGACATATTTCTACGTATGCTTGCGCATCATTCCTGACCCAACCCCACAGTGGTTCATCCTCAACCGTAATCGTCGGCTGGGCCCAATCCCGATCCCGTGGAACCCCTATCAGGCTCAGGAATCATCCTCTTTTGTAGTGGTGGATCGAGGGATCTATATAATCGGTGGACTCATAAACGGCAATCTTACTTCAGATGTCTTCTTCCTCGATTATTTCTTTCACACATGGCGCCGCGTCCCATCCATGAAAATGGCTCGTGCTTGCGCATCGGCAAGCCTTGTAGACGGGAAAATATACGTGCTTGGAGGGTGTGGGGAGGACGCTGATTCCTCAAACTGGGTAGAGATATTCGATCCAAAGACCCAAACTTGGGGTAACTGGTTTCTCCCCAAGTTGAGCTATAATATCCACCAAAGTGTGGTGATAGAGGAGAAGTGTTGAGAGATGACCTTTTGAGTGACCCTGCCAAAGGAAAAGAAGAAAAGAAGCTTAAGATGATGATGAAGAACTAAGAAGAAGAGGAAAGAAATGTCGAAGAAGAAGAAGAAGCACAGCAAGTCAACCTGAGAGAAAAGTCAACTGTGAATCTATGATGGGTCTCGTGTAAAAAGATGATGGGCTTCAATTGTGTCTTAGCCCAATAAGAAATATCGGTTGTGTGTAATAATAAGTCTAAGTCTAGTAGAAACAAGTAGCTGAAATAGTGAGTATGTTAGAGTCCCTAAGATGATTAGTTAAGGTCTACTAAAAGTAGTGTGGCTGAATGTCTGATTAGCTTAGTGTCAGGGTAAGGTGAGTGAAGTAAGGAGAGTTAGTATAGTCTAGTCAAAAGGTTATATATGTATGCGAAAATGAGAGTGAACAAGTGAGAGAATGCAATGTATGAAGAAGTTACACTACAAGAAAACAATCGTTTTCCAACGGTCCATTACGACGGTTTTTAAATCGTCGCAACATTACAACGAGTTTACGACGATCTTATGTCAAATTTTAAAACCGTCGTAAAACCGTCGTATAACAAAATCGTCGTAAACTCGACGTACAATTTACGACGAATTACGACGATTATACATCGATAACGAGAGATTTGCTAGTAAATGTAAAATCGTCGTAAATTCGATGCAAAATTACGACGAATATACGACGACTTCATTTCGATGTACATATTACGATGATTTTACGTCGAAAAAGAAGTTAGGTGAAAAACATTTAAAACATGTTTACCTAACAATTGTAGATGAAAAATTTTATCGCAAAATCGTCGTAAACTCGTCGTAATATTATTGTTGAATGTAAAACCGTCGTAAAAAGTCGTCGTAAAAGCGTTGTAAAGCCCGAAATTTTCCTATAAATAGATCTTCATTCCTTCATTCAATCACAACACATCATCATTCAAACATAAGAGCATCTTCATCTTGGAGACCCATTGTAGGTCTCTTAAATTTTAGTATAGTGTTGTAAATCCTTATATATTGAGTTTTCCATTGCTGGAAATCCGAATTAAGAGTTATATTACTTTGAAAAAAAGAAGTAATAATATTATAAGGTTAATTTACTCCATTCACGTGGCTAGACGTGACACAAGAGACCACCTCCTTTATTGTCTAATCAATAAAAAGAGATAGTATTGTGAGTTTATTTTCAAGATGTCTATATACGAGCTAAGAAGTTGGATGTATATGCGTAAAGATTCAGATGGGGCGTTGACAGAAGAGTTCAAGAACGGGTTAGAAATATTTATGTATCAGGCTACAAATATGGAGAGAACGAAAGATAGTGGGAAGATGTTTTGTCCTTGTTTGAAATGCAAGAATACGAGGTATACACTAACCAAAATCGTGTGGACGCATTTATTAAATAGAGGGTTTATGCCGCAATATTTTTTTTGGTATCAACATGGAGAAGGATATGGCAGTAATACTCATGGGAATGCTGGTAGTAGTAGTAATTATCAAAGTCATGTTGATATTGGTAAATCAAATTATGGTCATCAGCCTAATCAGTATCAATATGACCAAAGTGTAGATCATGATAGGATGCACGAAATGGTGACTGATGCATTTCATGAAACGCATACGGGTAATGCTGTTGAGGAACCTAATGTAGATGCCAAACGATTTTATGATTTGTTAGACAATGCTAATCAGCCAATCTACGAAGGATGTAGAGAAGGCTTGTCTAAATTATCGTTGGCAGCTAGGATGATGTCAATTAAAACAGATCATAACCTGGTTGAGGTTTGCATGGATGATTGGGCTGATCTTCTGAAGGAGTATCTACCGGAGGATAACTTGGCAGCGGGAACATACTATGAAATTCAGAAGTTGATTTTTAGTCTTGGTCTACCTTCTGAGATGATAGATGTATGTGTTGACAATTGTATGATTTTTTGGAAAGATGATGATCAGCTGGAGGAATGTCGATTTTGCTAAAAACCAAGATACATGCCGCAAACTGGTGGGCGTAAAAGGATACCGTACCAACGTATGTGGTATCTCCCTATAACTAATAGGTTAAAATGGCTTTATCAATTTGAAAGGACAGCTGCATCAATGAGATGGCATGCGGAACATACACAAGTAGATGGAGAAGTTATTCTTCCATCAGATGCAAAGGCATGGAAACACTTCAATATGGTATACCTAGATTTTGCTAAGTTCAAACGGAATGTCTATCTTGGTCTGTGCACTGATGGTTTTAGTCCATTTGGTATGTCTGGTAGACAATATTCATTATGGCCAGTAATCCTAACTCCTTATAACCTTCCTCCAGATTTGTGCATGCAAAGGGAATTTCTTTTCCTAAGTATTTTGGTTCCAGGTCCAAATCATCCGAAGCGAGCTCTCGATGTATTTCTTCAGCCACTCATACATGAGTTGAATCAGTTATGGTATACTGGCGTTCGTACATATGACTGTTCTACGAGGAAAAATTTTACTATGCGGGCTGTGCTTATGTGGACAATAAGCGATTTCCCCGCTAATGGTATGCTATCAGGATGGACTACACATGGGAGGCTATCTTGTCCTTATTGTCTTCATCGAAGTGATGCGTTTCAGCTAAAACATGGTAGAAAAACTTGTTGGTTTGATTGTCACCGGAGGTTTTTACCGGATAACCATCCATATCGGAGGAATAATAGGTTATTTATGAAGAACAAAAGTGTACATGTCCCTCCACCCGTTAATTTAACAGGAGCTGATATATAGGCGCAAATGGATCATTGGAGGGCAGAAGAAACAGTAACTCGTGGGGGAAACTGGCACACTCCTGCAAATATGCCTGAAGGTTATGGAGTTCATCATAATTGGCACAAGAAAAGTATCTTTTGGCAACTACCTTATTGGAAAGATCATCTGCTCAGACACAATCTTGATGTCATGCACATTGAAAAATACTTTTTTGATAATATCATGCATAAAGTTATGAACGTAGCGGGAAGAACAAAAGACAATGGTAAGTCAAGATTGGACTTGCCTGATTTATGCAACAGAAGTGAGTTGCATCTACTGAGAAACGGGAAAGCACCAGTTCCTGTATTTCGGTTGAGTGCAGATCAAAAGTCAGCATTGTTCAGATGGGTTTCTTCTGACGTTAAATTTCCTGATGGGTATGTCTCTAATCTTTCCAAATCTGTTGAGAAGGGGGTAAAGTTTGCTGGGATGAAAAGCCATGACTGCCATGTGTTTATGCAACGATTATTTCCATTTGCATTTGCTGAACTCTTGCCCAAAAACGTCCATGAAGCTATTGGAGGCATTGGTGCTTTTTTTCGGGATCTTAGTACACGAACATTATTAGTTGATGTAATATCACAATTGGCATTGAATATTCCAATATTGTTGTGCAATTTGGAAAAGATCTTCCCACCATCATTTTTTGATGTTATGGAACATCTTCCTGTTCATCTCCCACACGAAGCAGAGCTCGGTGGACCCGTTCAAAACAGGTGGATGTATCCGTTCGAGCGTTTCATGAAGCATCTTAAAGGTAAAGCCAAAAACTTAGCTAAAGTGGAAGGGTCAATTGTGGCGGGAAGCTTGACGCAAGAGACTTCACACTTCACTTCATACTATTTTGCACCGAAAGTACGAACACGCAAAAGAGTTACTCGTCGATATGATGATGGAGGAGTTGGCCATACATATGCCGTTGAAGGTGTATCTGACATATTCTCGCCGATCGGACGTCTTAGTGGAAAACTAAAAGATGTTTGGTGGTCCAATGAAAAAGATTATCACAGTGCACATACGTATATCCTGTTAAATTGTGAAGAGTTGTCATCGTATGAAAAGTACCTTTTTAATTAATAATATCTTTATATGAGTTATCAATATTAATAACTATTAATAACGACCATTTCGGCCGTTGTAAAATGATGTTTTTCTTGTAGTGTTATGAATGAAGTTTAAGAAAGCAAAAGCACCAAAAAAAAAAAAAAAAAAAAAGACAGAAAGAGAGATACAAACCTGAGAGTTCAAGAAGGCATAAGTTCAACATAGTATCAGAGCTCTACTTGATCTGAGGAGCCTGTTTGAACAATACAGAAGAAAATCAAGAGAGAATAGCACAAGAAACAGAAGTCAAAAGAAAAGAAAAAGGTCATGGCGCTAAACCTGCAATCTTCTCAGACCGTAGCTGTGTTTGATGGCCAGAACTACGAGTTCTGGGCAGCCAGAATGAAGACGACATTGATGAACAAGGAGCTTTGGGAGATAGTGAAGCAAGGAATACCAGATCCGAACTCAAGATCACCTGAAACAACAGGAGCAGACAAGTCAAAAGAAGCAGCAAGTCAGAAGTCGCTTAAGACAAAGGATACAGCTGCACTCCAAATCATCCAACATGCTGTAGCTGATGCTATCTTCGACAAAATCCTTTCAGCAACTACAGCAAAAGAAGCTTGGGAGCTCTTGGAACATGCCTATCAAGGTAATGAAAAGGTCAAAACTGTTAGACTCCAATCTTTAAGAAGAAACTTTGAGAATCTAAGAATGAAAGAAGGAGAAAAAGTCGAGGCTTACTCTGATAGGATTCAAGTTGTAGCAAACCAAATGAGAGCATTAGGAGAAGGAAAAACAAACTTCGATCTAGTGGTGAAGATGTTGGCATCCATGCCTAAGAGTTATGCATCTCTATCATCATTGATGGAAGAAACAAAGGACCTGAAAACGGTCACCTATGCAGAGCTAATCAGTTCGCTTGAAGCCCATGAGAAGAAGTTCTTCCCAGATAATGATGAAGAAGAAACAGAAGGAGCTTTTCATGCTCGGTTTAAAAACCTGAACCTGGAAAGCAGTGAAAAAGGGAATACAAGTCAGATGAGATATGGAGAAAAGAGATGGTGTGGCTACTGCAAGAAAGACAACCACAATGAGGATGTGTGTTACTTTAAGAATGGAAGAAGCAAACCAGACTTCAACAGAAGCAGAGACACCAGAAGCTGCTACAACTGTGGCAAACTTGGCCACATCTCTAGAGACTGCAGAAGCAAACGATCAGAACATGCTCAAGCAACACAAGAAGAAAACGAAGAGGAGGAAGAGTACCACATGTTTTCAGCAAGACACGAAGACCAGAAGCTTGAGGAAGAAAACATCTGGCTTATTGATAGTGGCTGCACTAATCATATGACCCCGAATGAGAAGTTATTCTCAAGACTTGATACCAGCTTTAAAGTTCCAATCCGCGTCGGTGATGGAACAGCTCTGACAACCAAAGGAAGAGGAGACATCGAGGTTATGACCACAAAGGGAAAGAGAATCATCAAAAATGTTCTTCTAGTACCTAAAATCACTAAGAATCTTCTCAGTGTTTCTCAGATGGTCTCGAACGGATACGCGGTTAACTTCAGAAGAAAGAGTTGCATCATTCTTGATCAAGTTGGAAGAAAAGTGGCAGAAGTGGAAATGAATGAGAAAAGTTTCCACATTCACATGCCAACAAGCAAAGGAATAGCAAAAGCAGTTTTAATGGAAAAGGGTGAATCAAGCCATCACCGAGCAGGGTATGCAGAGTTCACAACTGAGATAGTTCAAAGCATGGAATCAGCGATCAGAGGAGGAAAGTACAGAAGCTCAAAGATGGACGAAGAAGTAAAAGGAACAGATGATGAAGGTTCAAGAATCAATTGGAACAAGAAGACAACCAAGGAAGATTCAATTCAAGGAAAAAGAAATTTATTTCTGAGAGAAAAGGAACAGAAGCTAATCAATGAAATGATTGGTAGAAATGCAAGAAGAACCCAAGTGAAGATCAACAAGGATGATGAGAAGGTTGCGTGGAAAGGGAATATGATCCAAGAAATAGAGAGCATTGGAATCAAACATCAGACCTCACAGTCAACTGAAAAGTTCAAAGCTAAAGGCGATGAGATGTGACAAAGCTCAAGAAAGGAAGAGCAAAAGAACTTACCTGGCCATAAGGAAGAAAAGTATGAAAGAAGCAGAGGATTCTCAGCAAAGAATCTACAGGAAGAAAAGAAACTAAAGTCAATTGAAATTGGCAAGATAACCAATCAAGAGGGAGCCGCAAAGATGAGTGAAAAGAGGGAGCAAGTTCTGCAGAGTTCAAACAAGAAAGAAGTAAATAGAGCACCTTGCTGTACAACGCAGAAGAGTGGAAGAAGCATCGACTCCTCATCAATGAACCTGCAGAAGGAAGAAAGTCAAAAAACGATTAAAAGCGATCAGAAATTGGTTCAAGAAGGAACCACGAAATTCAGCAAGGAAGAAGCAATTAAAATCAAGGAAACTCAGAATGAGCAAGGGGGTATGAAATCCAGCTTACCCAGAAGCTACGCAGATGTCCTGAAGAGTAAGTCCATTCAGAAAGTAGAACCAAGGATGTCAAAATTCAAAACCCTAAGTTGGAATCAGGGAATCAACTCAAAGGCTCAAGAGGGAGTGTTGAGAGATGACCCTTTGAGTGACCCTGCAAAAGGAAAAGAAGAAAAGAAGCTTAAGAAGATGATGAAGAACTAAGAAGAAGAGGAAAGAAATGTCGAAGAAGAAGAAGAAGCACAGCAAGTCAACCTGAGAGAAAAGTCAACTGTGAATCTATGATGGGTCTCGTGTAAAAAGATGATGGGCTTCAATTGTGTCTTAGCCCAATAAGAAATATCGGTTGTGTGTAATAATAAGTCTAAGTCTAGTAGAAACAAGTAGCTGAAATAGTGAGTATGTTAGAGTCCCTAAGATGATTAGTTAAGGTCTACTAAAAAGTAGTGTGGCTGAATGTCTGATTAGCTTAGTGTCAGGGTAAGGTGAGGGAAGTAAGGAGAGTTAGTATAGTCTAGTCAAAAGGTTATATATGTATGCGAAAATGAGAGTGAACAAGTGAGAGAATGCAATGTATGAAGAAGTTATGAATGAAGTTTAAGAAAGCAAAAACACCAAAAAAAAAAAAAACAAAAGAGAGAAAGAGAGATACAAACCTGAGAGTTCAAGAAGGCATAAGTTCAACAAGAAGAAGCTTTGCTTTACGGGGTGGATAAGGGGCATGGAAGCTTCTACTTTATGCCAAGTGAATGTATGTTTTTGACAATGATAAAATTAGATTCTAAGCCAGGAAACAGAAACGATTGGTGTGCTATAGGGAAGCTGTTATTCTGTCGTGGTGTTCGATCGAGAATACTGTGGTGTGAGCCAGATGTGTTGGATTGGAAGGAGGTCAAGGGTTTGGAATATCTGCAACAGTCTCTCTCTGCCTCGAGACGAGTTCTCCTTACTCTTAATCCATGCACAGTGCAACGCTGTACACCTACCAATGTCAAATGTGATATCAGTAGACTCAGCAGCAACTCTTCTGGGAACATTGTCATTTTCTGGAACACTCATCCTGAGAGTTTGGAACTTTGGTCTGCGGAAATTTCCGTGGAGAGACGCAAGGGAGGCGAGGTTTGGGGGAGGATTGAATGGTCCGATGCAGTATTCAAACATGATCCTCGCTCTCACTCAGATAACATTAAGGTCTTATATTCTGCTTCTGTCCATGTCTGAAATTCCAATATTCTCAATGCAGTATTGAAACATGATCCTCGCTCTTAGTCAGAGAACAGTAAAGTCTAATACTCTGCTTTTGTCCATGTCTGAAATTCCAATATTCTCACTCCTTGTGCCTTAAACTAGTGCTTAATGACGCATATTTCTGTTTATCTAATAATTTGATTTCCAAGTTTGTTTAAGACTTTGTAAACTAGCATTGATTCCAATGAAATTTGTTTAGTTGAAAAATAAAGCAAGTTCCACATTTGATTAAGTATTTCGGACTTATACAATTTTCACATAATTCATATCATTGATTTTAAAATTATGTCATATTATAATTATTAAGTAACCATATCTATCTATTATATTAAAACAGAAGCACTTTTAGTATTTGCTTCCAAACATTTCTAAATTTTTTAAAAGAAATTATATTTAGAATTAATTTTAAAATTATCCTAATTTATTACAATATTATTTAAAACTATAATTTCTTTTATATCTACATTTAATTCTGAAAATTAAAATATTTATTTAGATATCTACAGATTTCCTTAAATAGGTTATATTTAATTTAAAATTCAAACTTTTTTTTTGTAAATAAATTTAATTCCGAAAAATAGATATTGATTTAAATTATTTTAGACTTCCTTAAATATATGTTATATTTAATTTAACATTTAAAATTCAAATAATATTTTTAGATTAACACATATGATTGACAAATATGTTATTGTATTTTTTTAATCATATTCAATCAAACTAAAATTTCACATATTAAAACTGATAAATATTAATATTATATGGTAATTTTATAAATATTAATATTATATCGTAATTTGATGGGACGAATTAGGGTTTTTTTTTATAATTTTGGTCTTATGCGGGTTGAGTTATCAAAATATGCAAGATATTAAGATAAAATTATTTTAAAATTAGTAAATATTTATATTATATAATAATATGAACAGGCATGTTAGACTTATGGTTTTATAACTACGGTCTTTTCGGACAGTAGAATGAGCGAGTTAGAAATATGTTTTTATAATAACAATTATTTTTTTATTAATAGAATGACCAGCTTAAAATTATGTTTTTATGATCGTGGCAATAATAATATAAGAAAAAACAAATTATATCTAAACATAAAAATAAATCTTTGTCACTTATTAATAAAATTATATGTCTAAAAAAATATAATTGATTTGATTAAAAATTAATTTCCGTGTTGATGCACGGAGTAAAATCTAGTTCTTACTTAAAGACCTCAACAAACAAACGAGTCTTTTAAGTGAAACATTTCATCTTTTTACAATAAAGACATAATTACTTAGTGAAAAGACACAACTTTTCATATAAGTGTGTAAAATTTAAATATGAAATTGATCTAATATAAAATTCTAAATGTTTTGCTTGCAGGAAAGTTTAAAGTATCAATAATACTGGAAATTCAATGAATTACAAAGTTTTTTCTAACAACAATCTCCGATTAACGGTTTGTTACTAAAACTATATATTTTTTTAAATGCTTTTCGAATATTAATTTATATATATATATTAATTAAAAATTCAGTTTTGTTTAGATGGTAATTTTTATTCAATATCAAACGGTAGCATTGTCCCAAAAAGTTGGAAGAAATAAATATTTATTTCAAAATATACTTCACTAATAATTTAAAAAATAAAACAACAACATGTACATAAAGTTTAATTTTGAAAAACTTCAAACTAACTTAGAATTACTAAAAAACATAGTTTATTTGCAAGTAATTATTATTAATATAGTGTTATAAGAAAATATTTTTACTAGGATGTTTAGCTATTAATAAAGAAGAATTTAGAGCGAAAGATGGAACCTGAGTTAGTTTCCTAGAAAATATGTTTGGAACAAAAGCCTCATAATTTGGTCAGGATGAAAATTGGTAATTCTTTTGGCTATATTTCACTAATCTTATTAAGCCAATATACCTTTTTGTTTTATGAGTTATGAGTTATTTAGTTATATTCTTACAAATAATTTTTAAATTAATTTTATCATAAAGATGCATGTGTAGCAATTTAGAAAAAAATATCACCTTTGGTTATACTTAATCAATTATATAAATTTTTTGTCATAGAAATCATGTTGTACCAAACTATAATGGGCTTATAGATGCTTTTCTAAAAGGAAATAAACAACTTATAAATTTGGATGTTAAAGTGGGGGAAAAAGATAATTAATCAAACATAAAAGATGCATTTTATTATTGTTTTCTTAAAAATGTATTTATAGCATTTGATTATTAGAATGAGATAAAGAATTGTATGAGGCAATGAAAGAACTATTCCTTTATGCCACACTAAATTAGTTGTGTAATTTATTAATAATTTTATTAGATCCCTATGAGTTACAAACCCATTAAGACTACGAAATTTCTATTGAAAATATGTTACTCGAGATATTGTTTTCTAACAAAAGAAGTTATTTAAATTTCATGAGCAAATCTATAACAACCTCATGGTTTTTTTCAAAATTGAGTTGGAACGAGTTATAAGAAGAGAATGAGATAAGAAATTCAGTATTAATGTTAATAAAGTATCCAATCGTTAGAACTAATATGTGAAGGTATAAAATCATGTTAACTTTTTTTTTATCATTCAAACATACCAAAATCTCTGGGTGCCAGAATAACTCAATAAATGCATCTTATGATTGTCTCTTTGCATCATAATTCATTTGCTTGTACCTTTCAGTTTATAATTGTTGATAAGACGGTGCCTTTTTGTTTTTAAATAGGTACATTTATGCTTATAATTGTTCATTTAATTATAAATTTTATTTATTAACTCATGTGTTTTAATTATATTTATATATTTGTTTATTCATGAAAACTAGTTATATTTGACACGGAAATTCTAAGCCTCTAAAATGTATTATTAATGTAACATAATTAAGAATTTGTTAAGCCAATATACTATGTCCAATGCTACATGATGTTATAAATTCCAGATAATTTTTAGGTTTCTGAAAGATAATCTTAACTTAAATGTATCAAAATTATTTCTAATGGTTAGAATTCCAAATGTTTTATAGATTATGACAAATTTGAATTGTTTGGAGATTTTAACATTTCATATCATGATATTTTTTAAAAACTTCTCTTTTTAAAAATATATCTATCAACGATTGAGTTCTATCGATAAAATTGATTTTGTTTGTTATATTCGTTGTTTAACTTTTTCTCAATGTCAATTATATATGTTGATTTATATGTTGAGTTATACGTTGTTACATTAATTGTTAACTATAAACTCAAATAGATATGTGTGTAAATTGCTTCGAATGGCTTCATTCATCTTTGTATTTTTATATTTTTGAAAATAATATTTATTTATTTTTTTATTATAGTCGTTATTTTTTTCAAAATAGTGGATATTCACGTCTAAGTATTATCACATTTTGTTATATATATATTCACTTATAAATATTTAAAATAATTAAGATTTTAATATATCTCTAGTTGGAAAATGCGGCTGCCGTGACTACTTAATCGGCGACTAGGCGTTCGATGGCCAGGACGGTTGCGATTTGGCCAAAATCAAATATAAAATCGGAAAGAAAAAGAATGTTATTTTTCATATTTCAATGTTAGAAATTGGATAATACATGTTAGATATCTCATTTCGTACAAAAACGAGAAAAAAAAAAACAAAGTTGAAATGGTGATTTATTGTCTGGAAAAACGATAGCCGCCATTTTTAGGATTGATGAAATTGTGAAACACTCTGGAAGGTGATGATTATATATTTACCAATTTACGTTTCATTTACATTAAATGAAAGAAAAAAAAGAAAATGGACACTTGATTGTTCGATCCTTTGGGATCACAGGGGAAATAGAACTATTAGACCACCGATTATTTCAACATTTATCCAAAATAAAAATTATAAAAAATGTATTTTAATTGTTAATTAATTATATTATTTAAAAATCCTAAAACTAATTTCCGATTAATTTTTGACTTTTTTTTTTAGGTGATAGGCATACCTCAACCACCCGATTAGCGCCTAGCAAAATTTTGAATATGAAATATACCGTATTTACTCCGCAATTTTGCGGGGCTCGAGATCTAGTTATTTTAAAACAATAATTGAAATGCTAATCTTATTTTGTTTTCTTTTGAAGATTAGTTAGACAATAAAATTGTAATAATGTTTTCTAAATTGATCCAAAATTTGCAATTTCAAAACAATAATGCCATATAGTAATGATATCATATCACTGATTTTTATTGCTTAGGATCAAAATTTACTATTTTTAATTACCATAGCATAACATATTCATAACATGTATTAAAATAGAAACTTAAATAATATTTTTTAAATCGATCCAAAATTAGCAATTTGAAAACAATAATGCCATAGTCATCATATAACCAATTTGTTATAACGTAAGACCAAAATGTACTATATTTGATGACCATAACATATTCAAAAGTCAATATTCAGAAAATATTAATACATACAAAAAATCTTTATTTTAAAAAAATAAAATAAACTGAATGCCTAATTAGGCCACTTTGCAAATTCATCAAATTTTTTTTAAAAAAAATATATATATTATGTCATCCTCAATTAAACCACATTAAAACATATTCTTACATTAGTCCACATGGGACGAGAAATGCACAAAAGCAATAAAAGAGCTTAAACGGATCTGGAAGATCCTTCCATCATTAAAGATCCCATCAAAAGGTAAAAGAATTTTACAAATAGATGCAAGCGACTGTTACTGGGGTGCTGTTCTCTTAGAAGAAGATGAAAAAGGAAAACGAAACATTTGTGGATACAAAAGTGATGTTTTCAAATACAGCGACAAGCACTACCAATTTTTTTTTTTTTTGAAATGAATGTAAAATTATATTCAAAATCAAAAAAGACTTTTTTACAACCCCATGAGGTGCGACTTGTGTTTAAAAGAGAGAACTAAAAGGTAGTAAACAAGATACAACTTTCAAAAAGATAGTTCAAGCTCG